TTGTGGCCTGAGAAAGAGGCACATTTTGTGTTTCTTAGATAATCTTTGCCTGCTGTGTGAAAGGAACACTTTTTAAAAGATTATAGTGTGACTCTGGCTTGGAATCAGGAGACTTCAACGTTTAATTTTGTCATAGTGGCCCAGGATGACCTTCTTTTGAAGTCCACGCACCACCTAATTACATGATGGTGCTAATGTAGCTGTTGCATACGTGATGTTGTAACACAGGCTAATTCTGATAGCATCTAGCTCAGCACAATGGTGCCTTGAGATACGAGATATCAAACTTGAAAGTTTTCCAAGATACGAGTTGTTGTTTGGCCGATTATTTTTTCCTTGACTGCTTCAGAAAAGAGGCTTTAAGCTTTATTGCCGCTTTCGGTTGAAGTTTGCTGTCACACTTAACATAAAGCAAATAGAATCACATATTGCAAATTTAAAACAACCATATACAGTAACTTTGCCTCAGATAAGTTCGCTTAGCTGGATGCTAACATATAATGGGAAAATCCATAGATGGGCTAAGAAAGAGCATCTACAGTATGTGGTGGTGTTCTAAGATTTAAGCAAAGCATATTTGAACACAAACACATAGACAGACAACATAACACTATTTAGTGAGAGATATTCTTTATCCTTCACAATCATTCACAAACATTATGTCAGCTAGTTGTAAAACTCTTTTTCGTTTGTCTGCATGACTATATTATACGGTCACCTATTGGCCTGGCCAAGTCGCACACACCAGAAGGAGCCGCTACAAATCATCATGCTTAAAATGTTTAATTCTTAATTTTTTTAAATTTCATTATTTTTTTACTAAGCATTTATAAAGTACAGTCTTGTAGAGTCCTATTTTACTGATTAAAAACACATGACAAATATTTTTGTTCATTTTTGGGGGAAGCTGGAATGGATTAATGGCTTTACTATTCATTTCAATGGGTGATGATGATTTGAAACACTAAATCCAAATACTAAAAGAAGTTCATGACTTGTAATTTTTACTGGTTATGAGTGAGGTTACCTTTAATACTTTAATACAAGGTGACGTTAGTATACATACGCTTAGGTGTTTTTTTTTTTTTATTGTTTGAAGAAATCTTGCTGAGTCGAATTTATCTGCTGTTCATTTCCTCTGAAATGAAATATGTTCCTCATTTCATCCCTTGTTTTTTTTTTAAGTTTTGCAGTGCGCCTTTAGGGGGAATCACTGAGCAACAATTTTCGTATTCCCTGTTATTTCTTCACGGAGCATGGTGACACCTTTAATGACAGGCAGCAGCAGCGCAGTCCGCTCATCACCGTGTGTGCTGTGATTATGTGTTCAAGTGTGGAGAGTAGGTCGGGTGGGAGGAGGGGGGAGGCGGTTCTGGTTCCGCGAGTCGTGAGGCGGCCTGACTATGTGCCAGTGTGCTCTGTCAGGGAATTCCGGGGCCGTGGGCTGACGTCACCGTGCGAGTGTGAGTGAGCGTGGCTGGCTCTGTCCCTTTAAAAAGTGAGCCGAGCGCAACCCGATAGCTGCGTGGCTCTTGCGCGTGTGTGCCTGTGTGTGTATGTGTGTGTAAAAAGCTACGCCGAGACGAGCTGGACGAGGAGCATAACAGGCGGAATACGAGGCACCGTTCTCGGCCACCTTTTCGGATTTCTTCCGGGGGAACGCAGGGAGATCGTTTAGTGGATTATAAAGCGACTTTTCTCCGAGGATTTTTTTTTGTGTGTGCGTGTGTGCTAAATTGTGGACGTAAACGCACACAAGGAACGCGGATACACATTTCGACTTGGGAGATTTTCGGCATTTTTGTGTTTCCCCTGGAGTACCCGGTGAGTGCGTGGGCGTTTCAAACTTCTCTCACAATTATGTCATAAGTGGTGCTTAGAAGTTTTTTTTTTTTGGTAACGAGACTTACTGGAAGTCTTTTGTTTGTGAATGCGTTGTTGTGGACGGACAAATAATCGAAGAAGTGGCGTGGGTGGGGGGGGGAATTTCGGTCTGTGATTTTTTTTTCCTGCAGGTGACCTCAGTCGGACGCTCTGACTTATTAGTTTCGATTTACAATCATTTCGCAAATGTGGGGGAGATTTATTCCTGTCATTTGCTCGTGATCGGTCTGGTTGAGAAGTTTCATTCATTAGTAATAAGAGCTGTTTGCTGGAAACGGGAAGCAAGACGGGGAGTTTTGAAAAAGAAAATGCCTGTGTAAGGAGATCTCACGCTATTGTGCTTGAGTAGGAGTGGGGGGTGGGCCGGCGGCCGTATGAACTGAAGTGAATGGCGAGCTGCTCCCACACACACCCCCCCCACCAAGTCATTCCTGACGCACACAAAGAGACGGATTGAAAGGAAGTGATTTGCATCACCTCTCTGTTTGGCGGGGGAGGGGCACTGTAGCAGCCCCCCCCCCCCGGTTGAGTCGGGATACCACCGCGAGGACTTTAATCCGAGAGGAGGGGGGCGGTTTTGTTACGTCATCAGACATGCTGACTGCCGCGTGCGCTTTGCGCGCATTTTTACGCAAATTACGCACAGCCAAAGCCAGACAAACGGTGCAGTAAAGAGCAAGTGGTGTTGTTTGGTCGACCCCTCTTGATGTCCGCCTCTATATTACGGGTCATAAAGTTCTACACAAGCCCGCCTGGAGTGTGTGTTGACCGAGCCCCTCCCCTTCGAAAAAGCCTTTGAACGTTCACTTCCGATCTGATCGATTGACATGGAAAAACAGCTTTCATGGTGAGGCAGCTGTAAAAAGCTAAAAGCCCCCCCACCCCCACGTTTGTCCCGCGTGTGTACTTTGAATAATGACTTCTGTTAGAAGGAGACACACACTTCGGCCGCGATAAGTCAACTCCAAAAGCAATGCATTGTGAAGAAATGTTCTTGACTGCATGCGTCCTAAGAAATGGATCAGGAGGTTCCCATAAAGTGCTTACTCGGCGGTTGCCTAGCAACGCGGTAAACAAGCCGCTGTGTATCTTGGCTTTGTGACTTTTTTTGGGCGGGGGTGGTCATGGGGGGGTGTCTGCCACCCTGTGACTGCTTTTGTTGCCTTCTCCAGACAGCAAGCGACAGTGCGGATTGGATGTCATGCTTAAATAAAGGGAAAAGGCACCTCTGTCTGTCTGTCTGTCTGTCTGTCTGTCTCCCTCCCTCACTGCTTGGGGTGTTATTTCTCAGCCTCAGAGCGAAGGCAGGTGTCGAATAACACTGCAACACAGCAACAGGTCAAGTGTTAACGCAGCTTGTCCGTCACTCAAAAGGGACGCGAAGTGGTTGTCTTGATCTCACAGTGTTGCCTTCTACCTTGCGCAGACACCTTGTCCCTCGTAGGGAGAGACAGAGGAAGCTTTTTGCTCCCCACAGGCGGCTACGTGTGGAATTCCACCATGCAATGAGACTAAGCTTGGATGCATGCTGATGTTCCCACAGACGCGCTACTTTTTACTTCCTTGGAGTACACTGGTTGCAGTGAACCCCCATTGATTGCGGTTATATGCTCCAGACCTGCCTGACATGCCTTTTTTAAAATATAGTTTTACCCAGCTGTTAAAACATACTTTCAAAAGTAGTGTTTCTTAACTATTAGTTCTCAGGAAAAAAAAAAAGAAGCCAAGCGTGCGTGCTTCAATCTGTTGTAAAACTGACACAATAAAAATGGTTGATGTCAACTGCAAAAACGTTCAACCAAACCATATCAATCCAAAAAAGTTTACATGCAAAGAGCATGCCATAAATAAAAGAAATAAAAATACAGTAACAATACATGTAAATAAAGATAAAAACATGAATTTCATAAATTGGAAAAAAATATGACCAAAAAAACCCCAAAACAAAACGTAAAATCAGCATCTCAAACCCAAATTGGTTTTAAGTGAGGGTTTAGAAACAGGAAATGTCTCAGCCTGGAGAGTTTTGGGGCAGCAATTAACAGTACGGTCCCCATTTCATTTTGTCGTCGCTTGATGCTAACATCTCATGCGAAAGACCATAGACGGGCTAACGGAAATGGGCAAATATTTCACTGTGATTTTAAATCTTTAAATAACTGCTAGCATACGTTTGTGAAGTAGGAGCACATACAGAGAATACACTTTTTTTTTAGATTATAGCGCCAACTACTGGAAAAAAGAATTTACTCAATTCCAGATTTTATTCTGCTTTCGGTATCGGTGGCTGCAATCCGATACCTCTTATCTTCACTCACCCGTCCTTAATACAGATAAAACAACTATGACTGCAGTCTAGTCGGGGACCTTCTCTGCCCTTTCATTTCTCTCAATTATCTCTTCCAGTAGAGCGCTGGCAAATGATGAAATGCGTAGCAGTAGTACATGTGTGAAGTCCATGTTTGTTTTTCCTCGGGCAGGCTTCCCTATAATTATCAACTGCATTGAGACTTTATGGGCCAGTTGGGAAAATGACACAGCGCCGTTTTGTATGCGAGTCTCAGCAGCGACGTGAAATAAGGCAAGATTGCACTCAGGATTGAAGAGCGGGAAAGTCCTTCCCTTTTCATGTGGGCGCTCATGTGGATAAGAGGCAGTCATTTCATTCCAAATAGTCCCGGAAGACCAACGCAAACAGGCCCGAGATGATCTCCGGACTTTTCCGCAACAAAGTCAACACACGCTGGGTGGGTGTGATGACACCGCTCCCTCTCTGTGGCCAATAACGCGTCTTGTTTTGTCAAGAGGCGCGTGTGAGGGCGGCGTGGAGGGCGGGGCTTGTTCCTGTCATCACACGAGTCACAAAAAGTAAAAAGTGGAGGGGAATTTTGATGATGAAGATGACGTCGATGAGCCATTGTAGAAATGGAGAGTGAGTCGCCTACGCCCGCTCTTTGTGTGTCAGCATTCCGGACCCGCAGTTGAGTCACCTTCTTCTGTCTGCCACGTCTTGGTTGAGACAACGGACAGAAATGTTGAGTAATTACCGATGTCACACCTTCACCACAATCTTACCAGAGTAGGGAGGCTTTTTTTTTTTCTTTGAGGGTGGGGGGGGGGCGGGGTTTGGAATGATATCACAGTGTTGTTGTTCTTCAACGAGGCTTTTGTGAGTCACGTCACACTCAAGGCCAGTCCGCCACCAAAGTCTGAAGCGCCTTTCTGTGCGCGTGTGTTTCAACCGAAGCTCATGTGACGCGACCTCGGTCGTCCTTAAGGCGCACATGCGGTGCGTGTCCAACAGGAAGCCGCAGTCGTCGATGCCTCCACCCCATTCGTCGGGCAGGGAGGCCCTACTTCCTCTGACTGTGACGACAGCTTCCTCTTCCCCTCAAAGCGCACTTCTTCTTCCCTGTAAACGACAAAACACATGCAGCAGACAAGACACTGGCTGCGCACTTCATTGGGTACACCTGCGCAATCGACTCGAAGCGCTACTCTAAGCCTCTCGCTAAAACGATTTTGAAAAGTAAACGAGTTGTGCCCCCCTCCCCTCAATATTGCGATTGCGATCATTTCTCAAGGTCCTCTTCTTGTGTATTTTTTAATAAACAAAATTAATAAATTGAGGTAATAGCCACTTTCACTATTGACCTTGGCTGTCTCCAAGGTTATATTTAAGCGTTTATAAGCAGCCCTAAAAGAAAGCGGTCTTCTGATTTTGTTTTCGCAAATTCCCTCCTTTCTGGGACCTTTTCATCGTACTGTTTGGTTCAAAGAGACTCACCAGAAGAAAGAGACAGAGGGGCTGCTTTCATCTGCTTTGTTTTGACTGCCTGTCAAGGTTGAAGGCTGATGTGGAACTGGCCGCAGAACTGGTCAACATCACAGAGCTAAACCGCCGATGAGATCCGCGTTTGTCGTAACGTCCGGTAGCTTAATGCTAACACATGATTGGAAACATATACGGGCTAATGTATCGCATCGGCGTCACTATGGTATAACCTTTTAAGCAGTGGGATACTGGAACACAAACATGGCGCAACACATGCAGTCCGACAACAGCAATTCTCACAGGCACCTTTTCTTTATCCTCTGCGAAGAACGACTAATAATACAGCATCTTAACGGGAAATGCTACACATGAGTACACTATGCTATCTGGATATGAGTGCCATTTTTCTTCTTGATCTCAACTCCGGTGTCAAGACACCACTGGAGTTGCGTAACTATGACGACGAGCGTGGTGGTGGGGGCATTTCACCAGCCGGGTTTGTGTTATTTTGTGGCCTTTGAGTCGAAACCGCCACCCACCTGTCTGTTAGCATCCTGTTTGTTACGCACGCACACGCACACTCGCTTGCTTGTGCACTACTTTGGAAACACGACATCACGGCTCTTGAGAAATTCCACCTGCCTAAAGCCACGTTCCAGAACAATTTAGGGGATATGCCCTGTTCCTGCTCTGCAAACTGAGTCATCTCACACACACACACACACACACACACACACACACACTACTCGGGTGTGCTTAGTTGTTGTCGTTAGCATCACTTTGCTCGCCGATCTGCGCCGCTGCCTGCCGTCTGTTTTTGCCCGTGTCACATTTCTGCGCATTGAGTGGACAAAGTGTTAATTACAACGACTGATGTCCCCGTCATCTCCTCGACAGCAACGTCTTTGTGCTGCGTGTGTCTTCCAGTGTCCAAGAGGCCCCCGAGAGATGACCGGCGGCCGAAGCTGAGTCGCAACACGGCCGTCAGTCGATAACCTGGTGCTGCTCTGGAGGTAAACAAGTGCGCGCGCGTGCCTGAACTTGACAGTTAAAAAGTCGGCAGCCTATCTGGTCTCACCAAGCATCCCCGCGTGGCTGCGAGGGGGGCAAGCGGGCGGCGCAGATAAGCTCGGGCGGCGTCGGTCCCGGCGAACTGAAAGTGCAGGGCGACTGAAATAGCCGCGGCTTTAAATAGAGATGCAGAGTGTGTGGGTGCATGAGAGAATGACTTGAGTATGAGCGGAGCTAATTTGGGAGCACTGGAGGATGAGAGCGCCCATGCAGATTGAGGAAAAAAGGAATTTTTTGTACATGCGATGTTTCTTAGGGCTGATAGATTTTGAAAAATAACCTAAGTGCCCCCCGCCCCGTCTCAATATTGTGATTTAATATACGATTGGCTGGCAACCAGTTTAGCGTGTTCCCCGCTTTTTGCCTGAAGACAAAATGCCCGTGACCCTCGTGAGGAGAAGCGGCTCAGATAATGGATGGATCGATAACCGCTTTGATATGCAGCTATTTTTTTAAGGTTGTCTTTCTATGTTTTTTTTTTTTTTCAACAAACAATAAGTTACAATAATGATATTTCATTGGCATTAGGATGCATAAAAATATGAGACTCTCGCCCTTAATGGCATGAAGTGCTTTGGAAGCCTCTTTGTATATTGTTGACACCTTCCATCTTTGATGTCATCTGCTGTTCCAAGAGCAGCAGGGAGGCGAGCGAGTCGTCCGTCTGTGTGCCCCCCCCCCGCCCCACCCTTGCGTGCCCATATTTCGTGGGCCAACTGTGAAGATGTGTGGGTGTCTTCTCTGTTCCGACACTTCACTCCTTCCACCTCCAGCATTTCTCCTTAATCTATCCTTCCGTCCTGTTCAGGCCGTCTGTCACTGCGCACCCCGCCTAACCCCCCCTCCCCCTCCTCCATCACGCTGCTGTAATGAGATTAAACCCCCGTGTATCCACCAGGCACGCAATTTATGCAGACAGTCGCCCACTTCTCACACTTGGCAACACTTCCATCGTTGTAGACCCTTACAGACACACTTGGCACAGCAAGTCTTTTTTTTCTTTTATCATCACAAGGCCTTTGAAAGGATTACAGTAACCAGGGTATGTCCTCGTAAGTGACCCTCCCCTCCCTTCCACAAAATAACCATCTGGGCCCTGATAATAATCCTCGAACTGTTGTGCTAATGCCCCCAACTGGCCGTCTGAGGCAGTGCAGCCGCAACTCACCCAAAGGCTACTTGAATTCATATTGACGCAAAGTTACCGGGAACAAGAATCACCTGACTTTGGACGTGAAAAAATAAATTAAATGCACTCTCCTGTCTCTCCTGTCACAGCTGAATACAGAGGAACGGGACAGTCGAGATATTTCAAGCACTGGAGATCCTCGAACTGTTGTGCTAATGCCCCCAACTGGCCGTCTGAGGCAGTGCAGCCGCAACTCACCCAAAGGCTACTTGAATTCATATTGACGCAAAGTTACCGGGAACAAGAATCACCTGACTTTGGACGTGAAAAAATAAATTAAATGCACTCTCCTGTCTCTCCTGTCACAGCTGAATACAGAGGAACGGGACAGTCGAGATATTTCAAGCACTGGAGTGAGGCCCTCTCTGTGCTGCAGTGGAGGGCTTCACAGACACGGCTAGTCTGGTGAGTATTTTATTTTTCTCTCTATCTATCTATCTATCTATCTATCTATCTATCTATCTATCTATCTATCTATCTATCTATCTATCTATCTATCTATCTATCTGTCTATCTACACACACACACACACACACACACACACACACACACACACACACTGGGAATTGCTGGCAACCAGTTGAGGGTGCGCCCCGCCTCG